ATGAGGCGTTCAAAATGGAAACACTAGCCCTGCCAGACCAGTACCGTCTTTTTATAGCTTTGAGTCCCATGATCCCACCCCCGCCCCCCCCCCCCCCCACCCATGTTCATGTTTTGGATGATTGTGGGGGTCACCAGCTGTAACTCAACACCCATGTCTCTGTATGACTGACTCTTACGGCATTCTGACTTATTTAGCCGAGCGATGGACTGCATGTGAGTCAACAGTAAGGTGCAGGAGATGGTGTCTGCAGGCTGTTATGGCACCGGTAGGATTTCTCTTGAGTTGTGAGGCCGACACCTAAAGACCAGGTTTTATTTCAGAGGGGGAAAGGAGACCGTGACATAGCCGCAGGTCAGGCAGTGAGAGCTATGTGACTTGTGTGTAATGTTAGCCACCTTATGAATGGCTTGATGAAGAAGTGAGGGGATCAGGTTGTTGCTAAGTGTGTGAAAGGCAGCTGACTTGGAGCCTGGAGGGCTACGAGTCTTGGTCAACTCGGCCTGGGTTTTAATCGATGATGAACTGCCAGCAGTCGGGAGCAGTTGACCAGACGCAGCCTGGTAGAAGATCCAGAGTCAATGTGAAGAAATCGGTATGACAATAGGAGTGAAAATTGGATGCGTCGGCGCTGTGATTAACAAAAGAAGAAGTGGCTGTTTTTCTGATAACGTTTTACCTCCACAGTTTATGACTTTGTGAATAAGTGTGGTGTCTTAAAGAGTGCTAACAAATGTGTTGAATGCCCTTCCTTGCACTATATTTAGAGTGTCTACAAAGATGCGGTTTGGATGTTTTTGTGAAGCGTGTTGAAGCAGGGCTGTTTTGTGGTTTTCTCGTTGCCTGCCTCTGTACAGCTGCTGTGTGGCAGGGCACAGCTGTGGAGATGTGGCGCTCCACTTCTGTTATGCACCTTGGCTTGTAGTGTTCATACAAACTCAACGGGTTTAACAAAGAAGAAAAGAGAAGCCCTCTGAAACATGACAGAAACAGGCCATTTTGCTACCTTACATTTAAATGTTCAAACACTGGACTCTTTGTCGCACATTGTGATCAGATTTTTTTTTTTCCCCGCATAGACTCCGAATTCCTGGGCCGAGGAGACGCGAGGAAGAAGGAGCGCTGTTGGACACAAGCGCTCGGCATCGTGGGGCAGCGCTGAGCACCTTAGGGAGGCGAGTACTTCTTCAGCAGTTCATGAATCGATTGTCCTGTTTCTCATTCTCACACCCCCCCCTTACTCTGAACGCCTCCCCACTCATGGTGTGAAACATTAACAGCCCCTGAGGGGGAGGCAAGTGACCTCCCGCTTTTCAGATGAATCAAAAAGTGACTCCCGAATCATTTTTTTTTTTCAGGTGGCAAAGCTGAGGAGCCAGTTGCAGAAGCGCTCCCGCCACGCCCCTCCCCCTGCCGGACATGAGCTCCCCCACCGCCACCCCCTGCCAGCAGGTCACGCTGCAGGCATCTCTCAGGTGGCTCTTTTGCTCTCTGATTTTCTTTTGACAACATGAAAAGATAACAAACGGATGAATAGAACAAAAAAATGTCCGTGCCGACCACCAATGCCAAAGCACAGGCAGACTAGGAGGCGCTTAGTAACAGAGATATAAAAAAAAACACAGGTGCTTTTCTTAGGAACTGCTGTCATCCAAGCTCGTGTGTTAGTGACAAGCTGTCACAGAAAGACTATTTGAAACCAGCATATAACACCGTGCCAAGGGCAATATCTCAAGTCGGTCATTAAGGGTTTTACATGAGACATGGGTGAAAACATCAGAAAGAAATGTTAATAATACAAAACTTTTGAATGTGAAGTCCCTGAGCAGCCTTTAGTGCGTGGAATTCAGGCACTGCTACACTACTATTAGATGTCCTTTTAGATTAGGATTATTTTGATCACCATTCCTTTTAAATATTTGAATATCTGGCGGAGAATCTTTCATTTTTAATTAACTGTCCCACAATTCAAACCCCGGAAGTTTGAAGCTAGACACCATTAAATAATTTTAATTAAATAGAAAAAAAGGGTTGCTTAAAGTCCACGACCAGACACGCTTCTTCTGTATTGATTTTCATTTTTCTTGTATTTCTCCAGACGTTGCCCCTGATGCCTCTGAACAGACTCGCCTCGCGCCTGAGACGGAGTGTTGAAGGTTTGAACTTGGAGCTGGAGGAAGTGTTTGTCTCTGATAATGCCGACGATCAGCACGAGGTGAGATTCTAGAGCACAAAAGTGGAATATAAAATCCTATTTCAACATAATTTAAACCGTTTATGTAAAAAATCTGGATTGTTATCCCACTAAAACTATTAGTCTCCTATGCCCTCAGTTTTTACTCTAATCCTTTCTCTTGTTTTCTCCTGTGTATTTCAGATATTAGATATCCCAGATGGCCACAGGGCCCCGGACCCTGCCCAGAGATGCAGCAGTGGCTCTCAGAGTGAGCCGTCCCCAGGTCCCCTGGATCCTTCCCTCCTCTCTCCTTCTCACTCTCCCTGTCCTCTAGATCCATCGCTTTTGTCTCCGTCAAACTCCCCCTGTCCTCTGGATCATTTGCTACTGTCACCTTCAAACTCCCCCTGCCCTCTGAACCTGTCTCTGATATCTCCGTCACACTCACCCTGTCCCATTGGAAAACCAGGTTGGACACTACGCGGCACATCAACTGTATGCTAAACTTTTGCATGATGTCAACTGTGTTTAAAAGCGCTGTATACGTCTTCACTCCTTGCAGAGCGAGTGGACTGTGGGAACCTGCATCTCTCTCCGTCTATGTCGCTCCCCTTATTTGCACTTGACCCTCCTCTGATGCAGACCTGCTCCTCCTCTCCTCGTGCCACCAAAACCTGCTCTTTCCAGCGCGAGCCGCCAGAGGGCTGTGAGAGAATACAAGTATGTGACGAGGCAATGTAAGTTAACACACTTTAGACCAAAGCACCCTGCATTGACTGTATGAGTATGTTAGCAATTTATTTCACTATGGCTGGAATAATCTCCCTCAAGAACCAAGAATGGTTAAGAATATAAAATATACTTTTTTTCATTCTGTCCTATAATCTGGCATTGACTACGACTTATTTAGCAAAGAAATATGAAAATGAATGTTGTTTCTGACTTGTTATTTAGATTTTCTGAATATGTTTAATGATAAGCAAAGCTTTTCCTGCCCTTGAAAACAAAGTATCCTGAGGTACATGCCAACCATCTCTGCATCTCTTTACCCTCAGATCTGCCTGTCAGGATGAGCCTCTCCTCCAGCCATCTGTCCTGACCCAAATAAAGTCAACTTCACCCCCCATGGAGGCTCTGCTTTCTGCCCCGTCAGTCTTCTGAAGCCCCTCCTGCCCTCCATGGACCTCCTCTTCCGGGGCCTGTCAGTCTCTCCAGTCACAGGCTGCCCAGGTCAGGCATCTCCCACCAGGCACCTTGGCATGCAGTAGGTGGATGTGTGAGCAGAGCCTCTCTGGACTAAACCGCACTGCACCATCAGGACTGGCAGAAACCAGATGTATTCGCCTAGGTTATCACTGCTGCTGTAATGTACAGTGATCACTGAGATCAAATGAAGAGGCTCTGCGACTGTAAGCCTTTTCAACATCACATTTGAACTCTGGCCTAAAATCTGGCGGCTTTATTAATGACGTCCTCTGCAGGATGCTTGGAGATACTTGATACAAACCTATTTGTGCTATGAATAACAAACACAAGGCTGAAGTTCGGGAAATGCTGGAAAATGACCTTAAAAAATTGGTTGAATTATATCTGAAATTGCTCTTTTTGGTATTTTTTATTTCTATCAGCAGTTCTGACAAAAACTGCAGTCAGATTAAGATCTTTTTATGTCAGTGAATTTAAAAAAAAACAAAGCACTTGGAACACACAAGTATTACTTTTCTTATTAGCATTTGCAATTGAATTGGTGGTTGGTGTTCAGATAAAAGATAATTTGATACACTTTCTGATTTATTCTTATTATTTTGGCCTTTCGTTTGTGGTGGCTAGTTTTCTACACATGCATGTATAGGAAAGCTGTATGGAAGACATATATATTTTTGTATCTTTCTATGCTGGTGATACCTCTTCTGTATTCACCCAAGAAATGTTTGGATGCATTTGTATTTTATACACAGGAACAGGTTTGATAGCTTTACCAAACGGCAGCGTGTTTGCTCTTACCACACTGCTGCAATTTCTTTTTTCGCTATCAATAAAGTTTGAGTCCATAACAGTGATTTTTATTTTGTTTCATATGAGCTTTTTTTATACTATGCGGTTCTGTCTAGAAAAGAGCTGATGTTTAAGTATTGTTCTTGGCATGGATGTGTTCAAGTTAATGTTCATACGGATAAAAAAAAAAAGCTGTTTCTTTCAGCATGATCCTATAAAAAAACTGATTAAAAATGTATATGCCTGCCCTGTGTTCATCTGGCCTGATAATGCGTTTTACATATTAAGGTGATAAAAGTAAAAATAAATGCTTAGTGTGCCATTTGACGACACAAGCTGCAAAATTACAGGCATCCAGAATGTCCTCTGTTATACCCACTGACTGTTCATACTAAGGTGATATAAGGTACACCTTAACAACTGCTGTGGTTTTCTCTCTTGTTGTTGTGTCTGATTTTGACACGTGGATTTGCTGTAAGCCCCTCCCACTTCACGAAATCTGCTTTGTGATTAGCCAAAGAAGGTTCTCTTTGGCCCTACATGGACCAATCATTTTAATCCACATCCTACGACAAAAGGGGGTTGCGACATTCTCAAAGAAGGCCCTCGTGTTTGTTATTAGGTGCCTTTACCACTGCCAAATGAAATGTAGAGCCATTGATCGTGAATAAGAAAACGTAATAATTCACCTCTCTGGAGTGTTTTGTATTGACGTGTGACGTGGTGACGCAGAACATACATATTTTTTTTTTTTTGCAAAAAATGTGCCATATATTAAACTAAATTCATCAGGCTAGACTGGTGACATCAACATGGTCCTTTCTCAAAAAAACGATTTTCCTGACGCCAATGCTTTTCTGCAACTAACTATAGGCTTTTATTTCTCAATGGAACCACATTGACAGTGTGTTCTCCAATATCCCAGCTGAAAATGGGATTTATATGACTGTAAAGTGTTTGAGTGGAAGTAGGAGTAGTAGTCGGAGAATAATAATAATAATAATAATAAAAAAGATACATTAGAATAAAGACGCAATGATTAAATAGCCCGATGCACTGCTGTCTGTCTGCAGCTTCACCGATCCGAGGTACCATTAGCGCGCTTTGAGACACACTGTGCATGTGCGCGACGCGTTTTGACGATATTTCGCGGGAAAAAGCCTTCCACTTAATTTACCACCGAGACCTCAAATTAACGGAAGACTGTAAAAGAAAAAAACGCGAGCACCATTTCCGGGCTCGTCACTGTCGGCTACAGTGGAGCGGGACGTCGGTCTGCGGGGCTCAGGGAGCGCAGCGGTGTCAGTTTCTATCCCGGGGCTGCTGGACGACAGCATGGCTGCAGGAAAAGGAGCCGGGAAGCCCGCCTCGCTGTGGGACAACATGCGGGTACGGTTCGCCGTCTGCTTCCTCGGAGTCTTCGTCTGTTACTTTTACTACGGGATATTACAAGAGACCATGTAAGTAACCACTTTCAACCACTACACCACCACCACCCTCCTTTCGTTGTGTTTCCAAATCTGCCACAAATTGTATGGTGGCCTGAATGCTTGTGCACAACAAAGTACAGACTGTGCTGACTCAAGACTTTTGCAAAAGGTAAAGTGAAATGGTTGATGTTAAATTGTCTGATTTTTGGCGTTCATGTTAACAAAAGTCAAAGAGTTGGCACATAAACCCCAAAGCAGCTGATCTGTACTTGTTAGTTGACAAAGGTGTTTTTTTTGTTTTTTTTCATTAGCCTCTAATAGATGTGGTAATGCTTTTTTCTCATCAGCCTGCAGTTACAATAATTGTCTTTCATTCTTCAAGTGAAAGTCAAATCTTAACAAGCTACTTTAAAACTCAAAGGGAACGAAGCCTTTATTGCAGATCAGATACAGTTGGCAGGGTGTTGCTTGTGCCATGAGTAAAAGCAGGGATCATATCACATTTCAAAATGATCATTTAATCTGGTGATACCTCTTCTAATATTGTTTATTTTTTTCTCAAACCTGAATTGTTAACACCTTTTGTTATTGTCTTGTGTCACTTGTGCCTTTGTATTTGGGACAACAGATGGAAACTAGCACTTCTGCTGTAATCTGGCATTTTTTTTTTACAGCTGTTCATTAATATGCACTGTCCCTAACAAATAAATAAATAATAAATAAATAAACATCAATGCTGACACTAGTTCCTTGCTGCACATTCACAACAGCAAGCAACACAGCTGCTAGAAATTCTTGATCCCCAAACAAAATGTCACCACTAACACCCCTCCCAGTCTGTTGTAATGTAATGCATTATGGCCTCTCCTGTGTGAGAAGCTTTTTTTATAGTTTGGAGAACTGTGAAAGCACTCCACTTTCAATCCCATGTTTCCACTCGGAAGGATACTTCAGTTTCACGCCCGTTGTACTGAAAGTGATACCTGCACCTAACACAGAGATATTTGTTTGGCCTTTCCAGCACCAGAGGGGATTACGGTCAGGGTGACAATAAGGAGAAGTTCAGATTCGCCCGGACGTTAGTCCTCATCCAGTGTGTTATCAGCGCTCTGTTTGCTAAATTCTGTAAGTATGTCCTGGATATATATTGAGGAAGTTGTGACATTCCAAAGAAATCTCTTTGGATTGTCATAAATGAGAAATTCACTCCTTTTTTTTTATTTTAACTCATGAACCTGACTATAATATTTGCATTACAAGCGACCAAGTTGTGTGTGTTTTTTTAAAATTTTTTTAAATGAAGTAAAATATTCCTCTTCATCATTAGTGATCCAGTTTTTTGAGGGCTCCAAACCGGACACCACTAAGAGCTGGCTCTATGGAGTGTGTTCCCTTTCTTATCTTGGAGCCATGGTCTCTAGTAACTCTGCCCTTCTGTATGTCAACTACCCCACACAGGTGAATCTGCCAATTTCAAAAACTTGCCACAATTTGTTTGTGTTGTTTTTTTGTACTAATAAACATTGTGCCATAGTATCCTAAAGCTATGTTTTTACATTTTTAGGTATTGGGGAAATCCTGCAAACCTATACCAGGTACATCTGATGACGTTACTATTTACCTGCCTAAACTACTACTTATAGAAAACTAGCTGGTATTAGTAACATGTGATTACAAGACCTTTTTATATATATATATGTGTATGTGTTTCTCTGTTCTGGATTCTACAAAACCTTTAAACAAAACAGAGAGAGTTAGTTAAAACACCCAACTCATGATCAGGTACAGTTCATTCATACATCTCATGTTCTTCACATAACAAAATTGCTTATTTGTTGTTGTATCATGTCTATGAAACACATTAATAATGATCATAATTGTATTTCTTATTGCACGTTTAAAAACAGGTGTTTATAAAGTGCTTTGAAAGACGAGGCAGAGTCAGGAACTCAGGAAAATAACACAACAAACATCAACAGTCAAGCCAAACAGAGAGAGTGGTGTTTACAATTCAAACAATAAGGCAAACACAAAAGATCAACAAGGAAAATACATACAATCGAAGAAAGAATGAAAGAATAAGAGCAATTAAAAATCAATCAAAAGATTCTTAGATGGACTCATCAACGTTGTGTAGATTTTGTCATTGAAAAAAATGTGCAGTCATTTCACCGCCCTCCTTCTAGTCTAAACTTCATGCTAATCTGTGTCAATATTGACGGACCCAGAACCTTGCAGGTGTCGTGGTGTAATGTGCTGTGAATAGAGTACAGGTTCAAGTGAAACTGTTTAAACTGTTCAAGGAGTACACTGAGTACACTTTTTTTTTTTTTCTCCTCCAAATATACAGTCTGTTCCTCAGGCTACAGTATGTTGTGTTTGGACGTTGAATGTTATATCCCCACTCTTACTTCTTGGTTATCTCGAGTTCACATTCTGACACTCAAACACACTCCATCCATATTTGCCCCTCACAGGGTTGTAGACCTGACACTGTATCCAAGGTAGGATTAATGCAAACTGTAGCGATGTCCCTGTGATATCCATGGCTACAAACCATCCACCATGCTGTTGTTGTGCTGTTGCAGTGATGATCCTTGGTGTGACAATACTGAGGAAGAAGTATCCTCTGGCTAAGTACCTGTGTGTGCTGCTCATTGTGAGCGGTGTCGCTCTGTTTCTCTACAAACCAAACAAGAGCTCAGCGGTTGCAGACGACCATGTGTTTGGGTTTGGAGAGATTCTGTTGGTGAGTTCATACGCCTTTGTGTCCCATCCATTTCATAGCATATATATTACCATGTGTTGTAAATTAATGTGACTCTTCTCTTTCATTGTTTTGTGTCTGCTGCGTCATAGCTCGTCTCGCTGACATTGGACGGCCTCACTGGTGTGGCGCAGGACCACATGAGGGCCCGCTTCCAGACGAGTGCCAACCACATGATGCTCAACATCAACTTGTGGTCTACTCTGGTGCTGGGACTGGGTGAGTCCGCTGTTGCTCTCTGCCAAACTCCTGTCTCGCCTGAACATGTGCCTGCACCGAGGCTGTTTCCTGATTGGCTCCCTGCTGTCAGAGAGGAGAAACTAATGAGAAGAATCACCTTGATGTGGTTCAGTACTGCCAAAATATCACAGAACGATACAGAAAGACTGGTGCGCTGAGTGTTCTGTTGTCAAGCTTTCCCTTAATAATCCCACTTTAAAAGATTTACAGGTAAATCAGTGAACTTTTGTGGCATCATACAGTTCTGAGTTATATTTTCATCAAACTGATGTAGTGTTACTGTGCAGAACCTGGCACTGATTGGCATGTTGTTGCCTATTGCTTGAGCTTAAACTTGTAAATGCCACTCATCGGGTTTCCTTAACCTAAATCCCAGATCAGATGATTTTTAGAATCCACCCATTGTGAACACTGATGTTTAACAGTGTAGCCAATGGCAGATTACATTGTTTTTCCATTTTGGTAATTATTCACGTCTATATTTTCAATGAGGGATGTGATTATGCATCACTGCCGACAGTTTCCTTCTCAATTAACATGAAAACAAATAAGAGTTTGTCAAACAGGTCCTCTTCTGGAATCAGCAGTTACGCATACTAACATGCATTATATTTATGCAACACAACAGATACACGTCAGCCACTGACATGGGGGCATGCAACATTATTTGCTGATAGGCTGATGTCTGTCAACAGGGAAGCAATCGGCCAATACCGACGCATCGGTGCATCACTAAGTATATCTTAAATACGGGGTTAAGCTCTTTTTTTTTTGACCATGCTGTCTTCTTGAGCTGCTCGTAAACTCAACACATGATCAAACTGCAGCTTGACGTTTTATCTTTTTGAAGGTGATTGATGGTTACAGCCGAGTTGTGTCATAGCTGTCTCTGTAATGTGCTGCGTTCCTTTTGACCACAACAAACAGCTGCTGTGACGCTCGAAGTAATGGCGTTCCAATCAGTAAACAATATGATCTGCATTAGAGGCTTTTTCGGGAAAAAGGTGAGCACAATTATCCGAGTTGCAGAATGTCATTAATTCAGTGGAGGCGAAAGTGTTCAGTGTTCTCTTTATAGATAAGGAATGCTGCACCTTTTGTTGCCTCAATACTGTAAAGACTAAGGTGCGTAAAACAAATGGGGTCTAATGAGGTGTTTTCTAATGTGAGGCACTAATGGGCTGAAAGATACGATCAAAAGCAGCATGAGAACTGAGAGCCCTGTTATCTGTCTTATAGCAAACTAATTGGCAGCGTCTTCTATCTCTGAGAAGGTTTCCATCTCTGCTGCATATCTGCTTCTTGCTTTAAAAGGGCGTATCACAAAAAAAAAGGCTGTATTTGTTTTAAAAGAATCCAGAGTTAAGCTGCGTTGTAAAGTCTTCAGACGTCCTCCGTTTAAGACGCTTTTGCTACCCTTGCAATAATTCTGCCTTTGATCGCTTTGAAGTGCTGTTATTTCCCAAGATAGGAAGGTTTTCTAGTACCGTCACTCCCACGGATTAATGACGCCCCCACACAAAGATTTCAATCTAAATGTTGTTCCAGCATTACTCCACACGGTGGTGCTATATGACCACGCTGTGAGCATTTGTGCTTTGATTTGGTTTCTACACGTCTGTGCCAAAGATGATCAAGAAACAAATGTGTGACACTAAATTCATCATCAATGCTTTTTTGTTCTTCTGCTTTCAGCTGTGTTGTGGACAGGGGAAGTTTGGGACTTCCTTAGTTTTACTGAACGCAACCCGAGCATCATCTACAACATTCTTCTGTTCGGAGTAACCAGTGCTTTAGGCCAGGTGAGTGTCTGGAGAAGAGGGCTTGATGATGAAGGTGCACGTAGATGATGAGCCATATTGTGTTGTGAAATAAATATGTCCTTGAGTAAAAGCTTTGGAATTACTTATTTTATGTCATGAACCTTTTGACTGTGTGTGTGTGTGTGTATCCAAACGTCATCCCTTGATGTGTGTGTTTTTTTTTTTGTTTGTTTTTTTAATTCCATATCCAGACCTTCATCTTCATGACGGTGGTGTACTTTGGGCCTCTGACCTGCTCCATCGTCACCACCACCAGGAAGTTCTTCACCATCCTCGGCTCGGTTATTCTGTTCGGCAACGTTATGAGCACAATGCAGTGGGTTGGCACCATCCTGGTGTTTCTCGGTGAGAGTTTATTCTGTTTAAGCACGTTGTTGCCCTCTCTGGATTCAGTGTCACTGTCTTTTTGGCCCAGCTCCAAAGAGCCCATATCTTTCTAATTGGTGCATGGTTTGTTTTAAAATCGATGTCTTCAATGGTAAACTGCTTGCAAAAACATGTTTGAAGCCATAAGTTGTTGCCCGAGATGGTTACTGTATGGGTTTATAAAAATAAAAAAACTAAGGCCCAATTGGGGAGCACTTAGACTTCCTATGTAAACTGTATGGTAAATAATGCATTGAGAGAATAGCTGTAAGTCAGTAATTACATTTAACACTGACATGTTTCAATAAGATGTTCAAATGCTCATGATGTTTTGTGTTTTTAACGGTTGAATTTGTAAAAGCCAATAGTGAGAACCTAAGCGTAACATCATTTGTGTTTAGCTACTGATGCTAACCCTTACTGTTTAATCACGTGTCTTTGGTTTTCTCACTTCAGGTCTCGGATTTGATGCTAAATTTGGCAAGGGCCCAAAGAAGACGACCCACTGAAACATACGGCGCACCTGAGGGAAAGATTGCAGAACAAGAAGAAACACTCTATAGCCAGTATCTTATTTTCACATGACATCATGAACAGGCATCCTGTATGTGCCTCGGGGTTTGTTTTTTTTGTTGCTATGGTCAGATCTTTAACTTCACTGTGTTTAAGGGAGCTCTTGTAATTTTCAACTTCAGCTTCTGTTGTGTACAGTGGATATGTTGAAGAGACACGGTTAACTTGGGATCAAGTCCTGGATGAACTGCAAAGAAGCCACTCGCATCTTTTTGTTTTTAACTGCAAGACGCCACACAGCAGCAGAGGAATTATGAAGGGCTGTAAGACAAAGAGACAAGTATCTGTTTTTGAAACCAACTCACCCCCCTCGGATAGATACTGAAACAAGCAAGGCCTGAAACAGAAATCTCCTACATTTCAATCATAAACTTCCAAAAAAGGTTTGGTTTACAAGTTGACGCTTGAATATGTGCAATAATCACACATGTAGTCAATTTCTTGGCAAACATTTGGCCAAGCATCATGTTATTATAAAATATAAACGGTTGTATGTAAACTATTGTGTTATGTCCAATCTTACTATTGAATTGTTTGAACTTTATTTTCTTCTAGCTGAACGTAACTTAAAAAGGGAAATTGTTATAAAATCATGGTGTCTTTTGTTTTGTTTTAGGAAAACTTTAATGGTTCGGAAATCTTTAGTTGGTCTAGATTCTCATCTCTGGTTGATTTCTGACTCAAAAATAGCAAACAAGCACTTTATATTGATCAGCACTTATTAATGCTAGAAGGGAAAATGATAATCACAGGCAACCTACTTATTCAACCTGTTTTTAATGAAATAGTTTATTACCAAGGTGTTTAACCATTCATTACTTAAACTCATAAAATTATTGAAAAAAGATGTCACTACGCCCCAAGCCTGTGTCGTCTGCTTAAATAATAGTGTTTAATCCAATATAAAAGTGGGAATGTACCGGAGATATAACCGTTTAAGCACGGGTGTTATAATTGTTATAATTTAGGTCAGGGAGGGGGCAACTTTGGTCACAACAAGGGCCACATTCATTTAATTCTCACTGCCAGAGGGCCAAATTGTAGTATACAAAATCAATTACGGTCAATTATGTCTAAAATTTATCTTAACATATACCAGTTGTCAAATATTATTATGTACATATTTCTGATTTTCATGATTTCATGGCAGATTTTGTCATGTTTTTTTAAATGTTTCCAATTAATTGATATGTAAAAAATGACCTGAGGGCCACGTTTAGGGTTGATGGGGGCCGCATGTGGCCCAACCCTGATTTAGGCACTGTTAAAAACAAATGTAGCTTCTCTCTAATCTGGTGGGAAAAAAATAGCGCCCCCTGCTGTTATATTGTTGTAAGGACTGTTCAACTCGCATTGATAAAGGAGACTGCACTGGAGCAATAAACTGGTTATCTCCATCATGTTCTTCAAAGAAGTTGATAACTAATTAGCTGCTTTTCACTTAATGCTGCATTATAATCTAAAATTGAACAATTAATGTTACATAAGGTAAAGACAATAACCTACTACCACCTAAAAAAAATAGATAATCTCTTCTGAACCTTACTTACATTATTATTTTAAATTATAAAGTAAGACGACTTGGTGAGTGACTTATATCAGTATGGGTGTTTGGGCTGGTTTTGTTTCGGGTTGAAAGCAGATATTATAAGATTAATCTTATTTCTGCTCCTTTTCATTCAAAATTTGAGATTTTTATGTTTGTTTGTTTTTCTTAACTTTATTGTTTTTTTTTTTTTAATGAAATAAAATTGACAAATGAAATAAAAATAAATAAAAGGGACATTTAAAAAAAAAAAAAGTTAGTTTTGCCAGAATAAAATGCTGTAAAAGTTGAATCGAGAAAACATTTTAATGAAACAATACTAAATAAATCTGCATTTATTACATGCAGTTTCACAGCTATAAATTACACATGTCATATAATAATAATATTAATAATAATAACTACTAAACATGTGTTTTTCGCTGTTGACGGTCAGGCAGTCTGTGCAGCATCCTACTTCTCCTCTCGGCCTTTCCTTCCGCTCAAACCTGCAGATGAAATTGCGCAGCGCTCTGGCAACACTGTCGGTAATCCGTTTATTCCTGTACAAATTGAGATAAATCCATCTAAACAACTACCAAAAAAATGCTCGCCACAGTCCGCAAACAGCTGAGAAGCCACCCAGCCGTGAGTACACCCCCGTTTATTTACAATAAATATGAATTTCAAGAGTTGTTATTGTAAACCTGACCCTTCCCTGCGAGTTAGTGTAGCTAACTTAGCTTAGCACAACTAGTCTTTGACCGCACTGACTTTGAGACATTTTGGTCCAACAAGAAGGATGCTTCATTGTTTTTTGTTTTTTTGTTTTTACAAATTAATTGAATTTAGTATAACACGAGTGTAAAAACTTGTGGCAGTCGATGCTTAGGAGTCAAATCAGGTCACCAGAAGAGGGTCCGCTGCTGAGCTGAAAGTAGCATTTGATGCTACTAGTTAGCAAGTCAGCTGGCTAGGTAGCGAATAGCTGTGCGAGATGTTTACGTACAAGAAAAGTATATATTTAGCAAGGTGTACGCGATGTTACTTAAGAATTTGAATTCCATTTGAATAGACTAGCTTGGTTAAGAAGTTGGCTGATAAAAGATGTAAATAAAGCAAATAATGGGTTTAAACTGACTAATCTCAACACATGACAGCTTCAGGTCGCAAGGGCAACTGGCTTGAGGTTATGTTGAAGTGCATTACAGTCACATTTAATGGGCATGTGTTAGTTGCAAATGTGTGTAAGCCTTAGTTAGTTTAGTAGGGCAACTGTTTCTGTATATAAAAGCTGTCTGCAGTCTCTGTGTTTTCTCTTAAAACGCCTCCAAGTTGACTTTTAAGGTAACAAAGGGTCTAACCTTCTTGTCTGACATCACAGCTGATCCCACTCTTCTTCTTCATCGGTGGAGGAGCAGCCATGTCCATGATGTACCTGGCACGTCTGGGCCTGAGAAACCCTGATGTCTGGTGAGGAGAACATTTATGACACAATACATAAAAAAAAAAATGTAATTCCTTCTCCCTCACAACATCCCAAGTATGTGGGTGAAACTACATTTAATTAGAAATGCATGTTAGAAGAGGGGGGAATGTATCTTACAGTTTTTCTCTGTTGATTTAGCTGTCGTGACCCTGTTTTCTTGTCTGCAGCTGGGATCGCAAGAACAACCCAGAGCCCTGGAACAAGATGGCCCCCACTGATCAGTACAAGGTGTGCCCCAGTCCCCCTCTTAGAAAAAACCTTTCAATTAATGCTGTGTTGATTTCAATTGCTGTTGAGAGAAGGTGTTTTGTTCAGGGCATCATGATGGAATTTTGCCAGGTTTGTGCTGAGCCATGGGATTTAGTCTATTAGTCTGATTAATCAAAGGACATAATCTGGTTAAATCTGACCTTCACTAACAAAAGCTGATGAAGTCGTTAACTTCAAAAGCAATAGTAGGAGTTTAAAGAATCTGTAATATTGCCAAGAGCATCTAAATTTATTACAAGAAGCTTTAATCAATCAAAAAATAAATAATAATAATTGTCTAAGATTGAAGGACAGTACCCTAAAACAAAAACTCCATTTCCCATTGTTGTATTGAAAGTGTTTGTTCCTGACCTTCGATTTGTTTGTGTTCTCAGTTTTACGCTGTTAACATGGACTACAGCAAGCTGAAGAAGCAGGGCCCAGATTTCTAAACATCACGTCTGCTGGACCAAAAGTACAAAGACGAGCTGATCCGCACAGCGCTACGTTGAACTATCTCCTGGAGCCTGAGGGATGCAGAGGCTTCACCCGCACAACGATTCATATTTAAGTTTCCCCATTGCATCTCATTGGTTCTTTTGAAACCGTGTCTATTGATTTTGATTGTCAGTGGTTGTCAATAAATTGAAGGAGTCTTTTCTCCTCCATACAGAGAAAATAATTCGGTCCTTTTTTTTTTGTGTTTTTATCAATGAGCATTTTGCTTTCCATATACTGCATCATCTTTGTTTGTTTTGTCTTTTTAATGCATATCTGTTATACTTAATTTGCTTTACCACCCAGACCACATTGTTTACAGTTACATCATGCCTGGCTGTTATCGAAGCAGAGTGTTGCTTTCTCCTCGTTTCACCTCCGTCCTGCCTTCACTCAGCTGCTGTTGCATTACGTGGCACCGGTCTTGGCTGCTTTCCAGAGCCTTATCAGTATAGCAGGGGCAGACTTCTACCTGGTGGCGTTTCAGCGGGTCCCTCTGGTAGTGGCTGTGACATTCCAGATAATAAGGTGATGAAACCTCAAGTATTCAGTCCAGTTGTTAGGCCAACCAGCTGTCCTGTACATCAACTGCAATCATTCCAAGCTTTCAAAAGATTCTACTGATGCGCACTGGAAAAAGATGAGAGCAGTAACCTGATCTCTCCAGTAAAGGTTGACTTATGTTTGTTTAAAGCAATAACATGTCCATGTGTGACACTAAAGCAGAGGAAACAGGACTCTATAGTGGGAGACGTGGAGGTGTGACTCCTTATAGAATGCCATCATTCTCATCCAGATGAGCTTGTAAATGTCAACAGGTCGCGCCGTCCCTGCAGCTCTGAGAAATGCGACAAGGATGAGCAGCCAACGCTGTGCAGAAAATGTCAAGGAGACCTTTGTATTTGCGCAGAAGGCCACATCTAAAACTTAACCCACCTCAATGACTGGATGTTTTTTTTTTTCTCATCTGGTGAAATGAAAATTTACTTTGGCACAGTTTGTAAGAGCTTCACTTTTCCAATATTTCAAATAATGTGAAAATACGTGAATTGTGCCGAGCTCATTTATTTGTTGACGTGACTTGTGATTTTCAATTTGGTGAAGGCAAAATGAAAATAAGTGACATGCTGTGTGGCTAGACAACAAAGACCTGTTGTAGGCTGATAGAAGGGAAAAAAAGATGAAAGTAAAGAACTAATGAATCACCTCTCAGTTAAAGGCAGCGTTATTTCATGCTGCCAGTGTAGTTGGACGTTATTAGCTACCTGTCTCTGTTTTTTAGTGATTATTTTAAATTGCCAAGCGAAATTATCTCACCTTGAAATGCCAAGTGAAGCATCCGGTTTCTTGTATTGAATGCAACAACAGTCGTAACGGGTTTACTTGACATAAACAGCTAAGTTTGCATTAAAGGTTTTTACAGTACAGATGATCCCTTTGTAAATCAGGGCTTTTATATACTTTTATAAAAAACATTATGAGGATTGTGTTTGAACATTTTGCATTCATGATTTTGAATGTTAATATTTTCGACATCTGAAGAATAAAATGCCAGAAATTGTTCCTTTGGTTATGTTGTTATGACTGTAAAATACAAAACAAGTGGCAACCTCCAACATGCATGAAAGTGAAGCTCCTCAATTGTCCACTTCAGGCAGTCTAGGAAAGCCCAGGAAGCAGCTGATTTGACAGACAGATGGGCGGAGAGTGAGACCCGCCTTTACTCAAACTCTTTGCCTGTCACTAGACTGCTTGAAAGTTAGGTGGAGATAGACCTTCCAATATGGCGACCCTCATCAATGGGCTTCAAAGCCCCTCTTTAGGAACTATGGGTGCTGTCACAGAGACTACGTCCATATTTGATAAAGTCTGTTAAAAACCAACAAGTCTACAGTCGTCACTACAGCTCATTGAGGCTCTGCAGTGATGGGCTTACTAACAGTCACATGCATTTTAACGTGCTTTTACGACGACGGTAGAAGGCAAAGAGTTAACAATATATGGGGGTTTATTGCCAGTTCAAATCCTTTTAATAGTTGTCATACATTATGAATCAGAAGCACAAATTTCAACTGTAGTCGTGCTAAGGAAAAGTTCAATAATCTGTGAATAAATCATGAGAACTTTGAATATTTAGGCCATTAATCTCTGTGAAAGATTATGTGTGTTTAATGTAACAGTTTGCATATTGTCGGTCTACTAGAGTGCACTGATCAACATGCCCCAAAGCCGTGCTAGCAGCATGACTAAAAGGACCATTTTAATACTGCTGGGATAAAAAAAAAAAAAAAAAAAGGATTTCCCTTACATGGGAAGTTATTGTTTTCTGACAATTAAGACCTCTAGAAACCTCCAACACCATGTCTGCTTGCTGAGGAGCTTTCTTAACCGCCCAACCTAAAAACAGTCACCACTAAGGGTCAGTTTTTGACAGACAGCTGGAGGGTTCAGAGTTTAAATGGCTTTATGGCAGTGAATTCTCAGAGGACATAGGCTGTCCACAACTGTAGAGCCAATCTGACCTGCATCTTTACCCTCTTACTCCTGACCCCCGACCCCTGTGTGGAATCCAACCCTTCCTCTGCCCCACTGCAAAGGTAACATTGAAAAAATAATGAGGGAAAATAATGTGAGGCGAGGCGCAGAGCGATTGCTACGGCTGCAAATTGTCTTCTAAAGGTCACGGCAAAGGTGAGGCAGAGCAGCCACAGGGGGAGTGCAGAGAATCCTGCAGTTTTCATACTAACAAAGTCCTCACTAAAGCATCTTGATAGTGGCTGTATGAGTTTCAAAGTGAGTGCAAGGCAAGGAAGGATGGATAAACTTTATGTACTTGTTTCAACATACACACAAGTGTTTTAATTGCTTAAGAGATGGAGCTGAAGTGACCTTTAAAGCTCCTAGCAAAGAACTACAACACACCTGCTGCCGGATTAACCACGCCCCTAGTTAAGCACAACCCTTAACCTTCATAAAAACCATCCCCTAAACAGTGTGGGCTGATGAAGATATGAGCTATTCAGACCAAAATCTGTTTTAGCACCAGGCTGTAAACCTGTTTAATTCAGCTGTCAAATGTCCAATTTTATATGGGGGTTAATGGGACTTTCTGGTTTTTGGAGCCAGTCTGATGTGGACACATGAGGAACTGCAGCTTTTTGTACTTCTGCAATAGCTTCATTTTCCAACAACTTAAAGGTTGCCGCTTAAGAATGATGGCCTCCTGAAGAAAGTGAAATACAATTTACATGCAATATGAAATTTGTCTTTTTCAAACTTCATGTTATGAACATAAAATACACATGAGGCTAACGCAATGTTGACCAAGGGCAGAACATCAGCAGTAGTTAAAGAGTCCTGTGCAATCTTTTCAAGTATTATTATCCTGAATATTTTTATTTCATCATCTCAGCTGTTGAAGATTATGCAGAAATTCAGATGACATTTTGTTGGCTGGAAAGTCCCTCTTTTTAATCATTCATGAAACCATCCCTGCCAGGAAATTAATCTCCTTTTCCCAAAAATATTTTGGCTGCTTTCTTTCCTTACAGAACTGGTATTACTAATTTCATGCTTATATAAAAATGTGCAGGTTTAACCCTAATTAAATTGTTCTTTTTTATTTCTTACCAGTGTGACTAACTACAAGGGAATGTGTTTACAATGTTGCACTTTACAGAGGAAATTAAGCGAACACAATCAGTTTCATTTTTTAAATCTCTTCTCAAAACAGTTTTTTCAAAGTAGATTTATCAACTCTTCATGTTTAAACGTGTGACTTACGCAAATGGCACGTTTGCATAGGTCACAACTCTCCCTTTTACAGTTTTCATAAAGAAAAAGTCTGGAGACCTTAGAACTTCTGTAGAACTTATATCTGACTAAACATGATCATTTCTGCTGCAATGTTTGGCTTTTTACCATGTGAGACTTGGGGATTGACTCACCAGCCTCAGGTGGCCATTTGCGGTACTGTAGGTATTGTTTTTGCACCATGTTCACATTGTCAGCCCCTGAGGTTTCTTGCTTTGTGCTTGACAAGTTCACACATAACACCTGTCCCCATTCACTTTTCTTTAAGAAAGATGATCTCATCATTCCTAGACAAAACTTGAAATTTAAATTTATCGCCTGTTTATTGTGGAAAAAATGAAACATTTGCTGTGATAAACAAAATGTGATTTTCTTCACAGATATTGCCTCCAAATAGATTGTTGGCTGCATTTTTGCTCATTCTATGCCTTCTATTCAAAATCACGAAACAAGATTCAATTTGCACTCCATCACGGTCGAGTATGGCAGAGCGCCCATATCTCGCAAAAAAACAACAACAATGACGCATATGAACAGTGGTCCCACTGGAGCCACAAGCTAGTTTAAGCTCTATTATCATCCCTTTTGTTTCCTCACATGTCTCCTCTTTTTTTCTTCTCTGCTGCTGGGCACAAGCAGAGACTTGGTAATTTCCACTGTAATCGAGTCATGAATGCTAATGGCTTGATTATTTAGTGAAAATTGCATCTTGTTAGATTGAATTGTTGATATAAACAATTGACATTTCCCCTTGTAGGAACTGTGTTGTTGATCATATTAAGCGTTCAGCCTATTGAGAATTGAGACAATTATTCAGAGTAAAACAAGTCAACAACAAATTTCTGATGTGTTATCTTTAAATTATGACATTTCTAAATTGTATTGGAGAACTGGAGCCTATGGTACGATTTAACAAGCTGTAACTAGATACCAGATTTCTAAATAAAACAAAAAAAAAAAAACAATCTGGTAAGCAATAGTCTTCAATTTGTCTTTCCAATTGGGAATAAATATTAAAAGAGCTTGACATAGATGCAAAGTTATCATGTTATCACACAGTCTGGGCTCTAAAAGATATCTCCTCCACTTTACCGCTCCTCTTAGCGCTAAACGCTTATCAATTATGTCACCTTATCTTTAGTACGCCTGTGTTTAATCTATATAAGCTACTGCTTTGCAATGATACTTTACTTAACATGTGCCGCCGCCATCATACCCAGTCTTCATTTTGTTACTTAACAGATATTTCTCACAGTATTGTGGTGAACAGAACTCGACAGAATAAAATACGCTGTGATACATTTCATCCTCTTTTATCTCTGTCAATACTGCCTGTTTAATGCCTTAGTAACATCTCAATTACCTCTTTAT